CTACCAAGGCCAGCGCCTTAGCCAAGCCCTGCTTGACTGCATCGAAGGACTCCAGACATCAACAGTCCAATTCCACTCAGCTTCCTTCTTAAGAAGCTGCGACAACGGGCAAATTTTGCCGCGTAGTTCTTAAAGTACATGTACAAGTGCGTTGCCAGCCCAAGAAACTGCCTTCCGTACGAGACAACCAAGGACATGTATCTCGCTCGCCCGCTTTCGGCGACTTTTAAAAAAAAATCGACGATTGACTCTACTTAATCCCGCGGCGATGGCCACTGCCGTGTCACACAGTACTTCGTACCCGGCACGAGATCAATCTCCTGCTGTATGCTTTTGCCCTGCGGAAGTTCCACAGGAATCACATCCGGGAGCACATTCTTGTGCCCCAGCAGAACATCGTAGATGGGACTCGACTTCAGCGAGGCCCAGCTCTGCTCTTCAAAGCGCTGCTTCTTAGTCTTCGCACTGAGGGTGGCCTCACTCGCAGTGTTACTCGCAACGTGGAGCTCCTTTAACTCCAACGCTTCGCTTTGAGTCCTCCCAATATCTGGGAGGATACGACGTCAACGCTTATGCTAGCGTTGGAGGATTCCTTAAATGCATTGACCTTTCCTGAAGTCCAGTACAGGTCCGCGTCAAGACGTTCAACGTCTCGACGCTCGTAGCGTCTCGGTCCCGGACCGAGACTTGCGTCGCTCGCGTCGTCATTTAGTCTTGTGAAGCCCGGCTCAACTCCCGGAGCTGACACGCAGACATCACAGCTACTACTTTTAGCTGGAGTCCCTTGCATATCCGATGCACCAATTCCCGGAACAGATAAGTTATCGTCACAGACATTTTCTGTGAGCGAAAAAAGCCTATCTTACTTATTACATCAACTCCCTGAGTTCGTATTTGCATTGAAATAGGAAGGTATCTCAAATCTGATTTCTGAATTTTTTATAGACGCAACGACTACTGCAGTCGTTGTGACTTGTGTGTTGGCACCGGAGGCAGAAGTGTTTGGCACTGCCTCAACGGTATGGTTGAATGCACCGTGCGCTATACTGACAGGGCCATCGGTCTCTGTCGCGTTACTTCCAAAGCGTACAAGTGTACGCTTCTCCGAGTTGACCACTGGATCATTCCGTGCAGGCCACTGCATGCCCAACCCTAATCACACTGTTCGTCTGGGCCAAAGACTATAAGGTCCTCAACAAACACCCGGGGTTTGTACGAGAAGCACATGCGTATGACGCGCTTCTCCTCACGGTGGCACCAGTTGCCAACCGAACTTTCAAAACACTTTGAGGTGTTTCAACGTCCTCGAAGTTCAGCTTCGGTAGAGTTTCCAGCCGAACAAAGTTATTCGACGCATCTGAGTCTACCAAAGCACGAAGGGAGCCTGCTCTCTTCGATCTCACCTCCCGGATGACAAAATTAGGCTTGTCATCATGATTCGTACCGCAAGAGCGTCTCTCACTGCTGGGGGCA